GTGTCGTTGCATGTTGTTCGGTGTGGAAGCCGTTGCGAGACCAACGATTACGGGGGGATGCCGGCATGCGCGCGCGACGGCGCGCGCGTGCACTTCGTGGCATGATTTGTAAGGGGCCCTTGAAAACTAATGACTTTGATAAGCGAGTGCGCGCGCATCATATTGCTTGCAGGGGATGGCGGGGGGGGGGGGGGTCGAACCTGGCTGGGCTGGGATGGTACGAATTAGTATGTAGGATGGACGATGGGGCAGCATCATATTAAATGCAATGCAAAAAGGTGGACTGATAAAGCTGGGGGGCGTAATTTGCCCTTTTTCTGTTTGCAAGGAGAACTGATTCGAACAAACGAACTGACGCGCCCGCCCGCCCATCCGAAACTTGGTTTGCAAAACCCACGCGGTGGCGCTTTGGATCCTCGCTTGCATCTCTGCGGCCGCGCCAGCCCTAGCACGCGCGCGCGGCGGCCAGCTAGTTTGGCGCCGCCGACGCGGCCGCGGCGGCGGTGACCGTTGGGCGCGCCCCAGCGGGCGCGACGATGATAGCGGCGATGCTGGCGACAATGGTCGCGCCGACGACGGCGCGGCCAGCGCGGGCGCCAGTGCTGATTGCGCCGGCGACGATGACGGCGCCCTCGCGTCGGCGATGGAGGTCGCGGAAGACGTGCGGCATGCGCGCGCAGCCGACGCGCGAGAGTGGCCCGCGCGGTTGAATTTGGCACCGATCGCGCCCCCCTAGCTCGCGCGCGCGCGAATGATGCCGGCGTGCGGCGCCAAGGGCCATCTTGGCAGACTTCCGTGGACACGTGCATCTGTTCCCCCACCAAAAAACTATAGTTTTCTGGGGGGGTCGCAAGAGCGCGCGCAAACTTGTTTGAAAACTGATGTTACGAAACCGCGTGTTTGATCATGTTGCTTGGACATTCGGTTGTGCAGTCGTTGCGAAACCAAACGTGGTTGGAAGATTTTCGGCGCGCGCGACGACGCGCGCGCTCTTCGCCCGATTTACGGCGCGCGCGCGAGGGCGTTCGAACGATGTCGACGCGCGCGCGCGAAGCCCGTTTGCCAGTTCGTTCTGAGACTGTTGAAATCTAAGGGTTGTCCTCAGAGTTCGCAAGAGCGCGCGAGCGCCTTTTTTGTAGATCCGCGTTGCGGAACCAAGTGTTAACGTTTTGTTTGTCTGTTCGTTTGTTTCCTTGTTTTTTGTTGTTGTTTGTTTTTTTTAGGGGGGGGGGGGGCGCTCGATTTTGACCCTGCCCCAGACCCGAAAGTGTTTTGTTGGATTTCCTTTGTTTGCAAGGGGTTCGTGCAATCTGAGAATGTTCGATAGACGAGCGCCCATGCTATTTTCAACAGAGGATGACGGGGGGGGGGTCCGAACCCGGCTGGGCTGGGATGGTGTCAGATCATCTTTAGGATGGACGATGGAGCGGAATCGTGCGAGTTGCAAAACAAAGGCGTGGACATATAGGACCGTGGGGGGCCACGCCTCTTGCTTAGAAAAAAGAACCCACGTTGTGTAACTGGTTTTAGCAATCGGGCTAACACATCCCATGCCCTGGGAGACATCCCGCCCGCCCACCCGCCACTGGGCTTGCAAAGCCCATGCGGCGGCGATTGCGATGCGTGCATGGCGCTGGCTGGTACATCCCCGCGGCCGCGCCAGCCCTGGCACGCGCGCTCGGCGTGGCCGACGCGGCGGAGGTGGCGCTGACCGCTGGGCGCATCCCAGTGGGCACTTCACTGCGAGTCGGCGACTTGGGCGGGCGCGGCATCATGGCAACGTCAGCTGCGGTGCACGCGGCGACGACGGTGGCGATGCTGGCGACGATGTTCGCACAGACGAAGGCGCGGCCAGCGCGGGCGCCGATGCGGATCACGCCGACGACGATGACGGCGCCCTCGCGTCGGCGATGGAGGTCGCGAAAAAAAGTTCGACATGCGCGCGCGGCCGACGCGCGAGTGGCCTGCGCGTTTGCATGTGACGCGGATCGTGTCCCCCTAGCTCGCGCGCAAGGGCGCGCGAATGTCGGCGCGCGGCGCCAGAGGCTCGTTTGGCAGACTTCCATGGGGATGTTGACAAAACCACTGTTTCTAAAGGTTCGCAAGGGCGCGCGTGCACCTTTTCGAAAACTGACCTTCGTTGCTCGGACATTCGGTTTTGAAGTCGTTGCGGAACCAAAGGTGTTTGGAAGTATTTCCGGCGCGCGCGACGACGCGCGCTCTTCGCCCCATTTCTGCGCGGAGGATTCTCGCGACGGCGCGCGCAAAGGCGCTCGAACGATATCGGCACGCGCGCGAAGCCCATTGGTAGTGCATTCTGAAAATGGTGAAAACAACAGCTGGTTTTCTCTAGAATTCGCAAGAGCGCGCGTAATGTTTGATGAACAAGCACGCGCGCACTATTTCCTACAGAGGATGACGGGGGGGGGTCCAAACCCGGCTGGGCTGGGACGGTGTCAGCCCATTGGCGATGGGGCAGAATCACATGACACTTGCAACGCAAAAAAAGGTGGGCCGATAGGGCCGTGGGGGGCCATGATTCTTGCTCAGACCGGAGAACCTATGTTGTGTACTTGGATTTAACAAACGAGCTGACGCATCAAACGCTCTTGCGAACATCCCACCCCACCACCCGCAACTTAGTTTGCAAAGCCCATGCGGTTGCGATTGCGATGCATGCGTGGCGTTGGCTGGTGCATCTCTGCGGCCGCGCCGACCCTGACACGCGCGCGCAGCGGCCAGCTAGTTTGGCGTGGCCGACGCGGCCGAGGTGGCGCTGACCGCTGGGCGCATCCCAGTGGGCACTTCACTGCGAGTCGGCGACTTGGGCGGGCGCGGCATCATGGCAACGCCGACTGCGGTTGACACGGCGACGATAGTGGCGATGCTGGCGACGATGTTCGCACAGACGGAAGCGTGGCCAGCGCGGGCGCCGATGCCGATCACTCACGACGACGACAGTGACGGCGCCCTCGCCTCGGTGATGAAGGTTTTGCAAGGAGTCCGACATGCGCGCGGCCGACTCACGAGTGGCCCGCGTGGGTTTATTTGGCACGGATCGTGCCCCTCCCAGCGCGCGCACAGGAGCGCACGAATGACGTCGGCATTCGGCGCCAAAGGCCCGTTTGGTAGAATCCCATGAGAATGTTGGGAACCCGATGGTTCTCTTCCGAAATCATACGGGCGCGCGCAAGTTGTGGTGCAAAAGGATGTTGCGAAGTCATGTGTTTTTGTGTTTTGGACACTCGGTTTTGCAGTCGCTGTTTTGCTGGAGGAATTCGGCATGCGCGCGCGACGACGCGCGCGCGCGCCCTTCGTCTCATTTTTGGCGAAAGGATTCTCGCGACGGCACGCGCGCAGAGGGGATATAACGATATCGACGGGCGCGCGCGAAGCCCGTTTGGTAGTTGCTTCTGGAAATGTTTGAAAACAAAGAACATATTGTTTTCAAGAGTTCGCAAGAACGCGGGCGAATTTCATGTTCTGAAAATCCGTCTTGCGAAGCCATGTGATATTATATGTGTGTTGGACATCCAGTTTGGACAGCGATGCGATTCGCATCGCATAGGTTTCGCCGAAACCTATGGGTTTTGAAGGATGTCGACATGCGCGCGCGACGGCGCGCGCGCGCGCGCGCTTCGTCCAATGTCTTTGCAAGGGGTTCTTGCAAACTTATGATTTAAACGAGTGCGCGTATAGAATTTGTTGCAGAAGATGGCGGGGGGTTGAACCCGGCTGGGCAAGGATGGCACGAACTCATCTTTAGGATGGACGATGGGGCAAACTCATATGTAAATTGCGGCGCGAAAGCCGGGGATCTTCTGACCCCGGTCAACCCAGACCCGGGTCAACAAGAAAAAAACCTGAAATGCAGGATAAATAAACTGCAACCCAGGTCTTCGCAAACCCGGGTCAGCCAATATGCGCGGCCGCCTCGCAGCAACGAACGGTTCGCTAACCCGGGTCGGTCAGCCAGAGGGGGTCATCGCAGGATCCTGCAGGATCTGGTGCCCTGGGTGACCCCCGTTTGCACTGACCCCCGTCTCCTAAGCTTAAAAAAAAAATTGACCAATCAACCCGGGGGGGAGGGAGGAGCCTATCCTCTTGTTAGAAAGGAGAATCCATACGACGGCGACGGCGGCGACGGGCGGCACCGCCCGCAAAAGCCATCACTCGCCCCGAGCGGCGGCGACGGCGACGGCGGCGACGGGCGGCACCGCCCGCAAAAGCCGCCACTCGCCCCTAGCGGCGGCGACGGCGACGGCGACGGCGACGGCAGCGACGGGCAGCACCGCCCGCAAAAGCCGCCATTCACCCCGAGATGGTCAAGCCTAGTAAGATCCCCTAAGTGCAAGCACTCTTTCGGAATCGTTTGAAAAATCAAAGCGACATCGTGATTCCTGAATGTCGAGGGCATGGTGTTCAAATACATTGCGAGGAAATTCCATAACAAAAACGACTCTTGCATACATTGTAAGAATGTTCCGCGCGACAGCGCAAATTCGGAATACATTGAGGAAGCATCAAGCGGAATAGTTTGTTGTTGTTGTAGCCGGTGGGCCAACAGCACATATTGAGCAGGAAGACTTCCCCTGATCAGAACAAACGGTGCGAACCCCGAGGGCTAAAGTTCCATTGAAAAATACAATGTGCCCCGGTGGGGGGATCAACAATACATATTCTTCAACAATGAAAATTCAACAACATTCCGCGCCGCGGAATCCCACTTCAGCCACGCGCCCAGAGACAGTGCATCACCGTTCGGTGCCCCACCTTCGCCAGCCCCCTGAAACCAAACACAAATGAAAACCCAGTCGATCCTTGAAATGGAAGACACCAAAAATACGCAGACGGGAATGCTGGAGTCACAGGAGACCCGCTTTCAGCGACCGACGGGCGACCCGAACTGGACCGATCGGGTCGAGGTGGACCCTGCCTTGGCCCGTCCGCGCCGTCGCCCTGCCCCGCTGGAAGCTGCCGCAGGGGGGCCGGCTTGGCGCCTCTGCGCGCCCGAAGACGTCGTCGCAGCCGCCCGCGGCGGCGAGGTATCTGTCCCCCTCGGGGGGTAGAGTCGGAGGGAGGAGGAAGAAGAGGGAGGAAGAGGAGGGAAGGACAGGGGAGGGGAGGAAGGAGGAAGAGGGAGAAGGAGGAGGAGGGGCGAGGAGGGGACGATGGAAGCCGCCCAAGTGTGGTCCGAGTAGGTCGGAGGATCGCGCCGCATCGCCAGTGCATCGCCGATGCGTCGGCGCAGTCGGCGTGGATGGGATCGGGCTCCACATAGAGCCGCATCACCGATGCATTGACCTAACCCATTGTGGGAGGCCTTGGGATGATGAGGATGAGGGGATGATGGGGGAAGGGGGAAGAGGAAGAAGAGGCGCGAGGATCTCTAGACACACTCGCTGATGTTTTTGGGGACGATCTCGGACCTCCTGGAGCTACCTCGTGTCGAGGGCCTGGTGCGACTCGACATGCTGACCAGAGCGCGGAACTGGAAGAGTTTGGTTTCCGTGGGAGAGCCCTTGATCAGGATGCAGCGTGTGCAAAACTCAGCGCGGTCTCTGATGCCAACAATGAAAGGTAGGACGGAGTGCAGCGAGCTGGCCAAGTCGAGCGAGTCAGCGGGCCCCGCCCAGTTGACCTGTCTGTCATCGGCATGGGTTCTTGGAGCGTCGGGCAGCAGCTGCAGCCCAGGCGCGGCATATCTTATGTCGCACCAGACCCGTGGATGGAAGGGGGAGGGCGGCCGCGGAAGAGGGCGAAGGAAAACGATCACCACCCCCCTCCCTGAACAGAAAAATCCAATGGCGGCGTAACTTGACACTCGGACTGGATCGCGTGCCCACATGGGCGACGGAAAGAAACGAGTCTTACGCGAGAGGACAGCGACCCTGCGCGGTGGCTCGCGCGTGAAGACAGCGACCTCACGCCACACCGGAAACGAGAGTGCTGACGCGCGGTCTGACGCGGGAACCTCACGCACCAATGTCCGTGCAGTCGCCCCCATTCTTCTGCGTCCCGCACATAGCGCTGGGCCGATGCCCCGCCTCCCGAACCAGTCTCCTCCCTGTCGCCCCCCTCTCAGTGGTGCTCCTCCCCTCCCGTCGTCATCCAGCTCATCGTCGACCTCTTCGCTGCTCGTCCTCGGTTGACGGGAGATCGACCTCGTCGAACCTCGTTGAGCACCTGCTCGTCCTCGTTGATCTCGCAGCCCTGCTCGATCAACCTGCTTCGACCTCGTTGGTCTTCAACCATCGTCGACAACCCGCTCGCCCTCGTTGACCTCTTCGTCCTCGTCGTCGTGATCGTCGACCTCGTCCTCGGCGCCGCCGAGGCAGCCACGCCCCCTCTTGGCGGCCTGCAGCGCCACCAGCCGGGCGCCGCTGCGTGCTATCTGCAGCGGCGCGCAGGGGAACCACTGGCCCCGCTCGAGGTCGAGCACCTCGCGGCGCGGCGGCGGCTCGCGGCGCGCCTTCGCCGCCACCGCCCAGCCAGCCTCGAGCCTGCCAACGGGTTGCAAACATTAAAGACGAATGTGCGCGGCGCTAAGCTCTGAGACGAGAGCCACGTTTTGAAAACCGGCTGCCTCCCATCAAGGAACATCCATGTCCAAACGCATCCTCTGGCTTCGTTCCTGAACCTCGTCATGGCCAATCCCGCCACACATCATGTAAAGGCCTCCCCAGTGGGGTCCGAGCCGATGGTGTCGAAGGATCGCGCCGTATCGCCGATGCGTCGCCGTGCGTCGGCCTCGTCGGCGACGCCTCGGCGCCGTCGGCCGCAGCGCCGCAGCATCCGCGCTGCGGCGCGATCCTCCCGAGCCCCAGCTGGGAGACCTGGCGCATCCCTGTCCTAGGTTCAAAATTGACGAGCCCGAGGCGACGGCAGTCTCAGGGATGCCCCCCTATTCCTCCCAGAAAGATGCAATCAATCCTGAAGATTGTCGCCGAGATGAAGCGAGCGCGGTAGCAAAAGCCCCCCCCCCGCGCCTCGCAGGACTTGAGCGTCTCCATGAACGCCTCCGTGGGCCGCGGGCAAAAAAAACGCGGGAAAGACTCGCCGCCTTCCGCGCGCCCGCGACGAACACCCGCCGGGATTCTCTGAGGAGAATCGCAGAGGATCAAGAAGGAGCATCGCAGAGGATTGGGGAGGATCGAGGATAATCGAGGAGGAACGAGGAGGATCGAGGAGGAGGAGGAAGAGGAGGAGGAGGAGGAGGGGGAGGAGGAGGAAGAGGAGCAGGAGGAAGAGCTAGAGCCACGGAGGAGGATCGGGGAGGACCCTGAGATCTGGGCGCTGCAATTGTTCACACCTGGCGTTTTTGCCTGATTTCGGGCCCCGGGACCATCACATATCGATCTGGCAGGGCCCGTAGAGGCCAACATCATTGATTTTCCTTGAGTGTTAGGAGGAGTCTGGCTTTTAATTATTTTCGGCCTTCCGACGGCCCAAGACGGCTCCCAAGATGGCCCTGGGACGGCCAAAGAGGCTCCCAAGACAGCCCCCAACGGGCCCCAAGACGGCCCAAGAGGCCTCCAGGGTGCCCAAGATGGTTTTCAAGATGGCCCTGAAAACCCCCAAGAGGGCCCCAAGAGACCCCCAAGACGCCTTCCAACAGCGTCTTGGGGGCCAGCCAGGAACGCCCTAAGATGGCCAACGAGGCTCCCAAGAAGCCCCCAACGGCCCCGAAGAGGCCCCAGTTCTCAAAGAGGCCCCCCAGGAAGCTCACATGAGGCCCCAAGAGTGCTCCAAGCGGCTCACAAGAGGCCTCCTCCTCCTCCTCCCCTCCTCCCCTTTCCTCCCTCTCCTCATACTCCTCGTCCTTCTCCCACGTGTTCCCCGAAGGGTTTCCGCAACGGCTGGGGGAACGCATGGTCCAGTAGCGTGCCCAAACTTTGCCCAAACGATTCGCCACATAGGCGTATCCTAAAAGGCAAGGGGCAACTGTGATTCGCCGTTGGCGTCTTCGCCATAGGCGTCACTGCCGACCTATAGATTTACTTGGACGCTCAAGAACCTCGACTGACATCTAAATGCCGCGGTCCTGGTGATTTCTTTTCGCCCTTTTCGCCCTCCTGGAAGGTCAAGGTTGCTGTCCACCCGGTTGCGTCCACCCGGTTGACGGCCCCGACGCTCCGGATGCCAAACATGACAGGTCAAGAACTGCAAGCACATACAATGTTGTAGGTCCGCTCAGATTTCGTGGATCCGCCACGAGCGCACCAGGGTCACCAAGGGGGGCCCAACGCCGATCCAAGAAATCCGCGCGGATCTCAGACAGTTTATATTTCTGCATGTTTCTTCTTCGGGACTTCCCCGAGGAGCCAGACGTCGGGGCCGTGATCGACTCTGCCGCCGCTGGCGCTGGGCTGCCGGGGCGCGGCGAGGGCGCCTGTGCCGCCCGTGCCGTCGCCCTCGCCGTCGACGTCCTCGCCAACGTCGCGTCGTCGCCGTCGTCGCACCCGTCGTCGCCGCCGTCGCCATGAACGTCCTCGTCGACGTCTTCGGCCTCGTCGCCGCCATTTGGCATGAAGAAGACTGGTCCTGAAGAAAACGGATCCTCCCATGGGACCAGATTTGCATCCTGAATCATTTTCTTTGCAATGAGCCCGTGGAATGCCCTGGGGGCCCCAAGCCAACGGAAAGCCTGCAGGACCCGTTGACCCCAAGACACGTTTCCTTCATGGCGAGCCGTGGTCGCCATCGCCGCCGCCGCCGCTGGTGCCCCTCGCGGTCAAAAATGGGACCTTGGACTTCTCCGGGGGGTACGCTCTTACCATAATTCCGGGGCGGATCCAGTCCTGGCCACGAGGGCGCCCCAGGATGGTCAGACACACCCCGAAAGCGAACCTCGGACCTCGATCCTCGAACCCCGATCCCCCTGATGTTGCCCCAGCTCCCTTGACGCTGCCCCTCACTGGAAGAACAACAACAAAAGGCATCAACGACCGCGCAGATGTTGTTGGATCGGCGCTGGACCCCCCTCCCTGACGCGCGGAGCTCGCCAGGGGCGGCGCCCCAAGCGCCGCCAGGGCCCAACGCCGATTCCAAACGTTCCGCCTTGACCTCCGAACCATTATATTCGGGGAGACGTAGGACTCGGGTACGGGG